GGGCGTCTTGGACGCCTCTTGGGCCGCCTGGGGCGAATCTCGGGCGTCTTGGGCCCATCTTTCAGCGTGCCTGGGCTCTCCGGGGCCGTCTTGGGGGCTTCTGGAGGCCCTCCCGACATGTCCTGGAGCCTGCCTGGGCGGCCCTGGGCGGCCCGGGGCCAGCCCGGGGCGGTTTCGGTGCATTGGGGCCTGCGCCCTTCTGGCACGCACTGGGCCCTGCAATGTAGTAGAGACAAGGGCTGACCCGTGGACTCCGTCCACGACATCTTTCTGGAATGGTTCTCGGAGGAACGGCGCAGATTGTACCGAAAATCTACAAACACGGCGGCGGCTCGGGCGGCGGCAGCGAGACCGCGCCTTCGTGTCCGAGCTCTTGCAGCGCTGGAGCAGCTTGGCCCAGCGCACTGCTCGTTCACCCCCCTCCTATTGAGGACAGTTTCGAAGTCTCTCGGGGATGTGGGTCGAAGTCGAAGCCCATCTGAGGCGTCTCAGGAGCGCTCGGGGAAGGGCTCGGGAAGCCATCGGGGAAAGCCACCGAAAGCGCCGGGGAGGCTGGCAAGGATCTACAGGGAGGGCCCAAGAGAGCTTCAAGAACATTTGAAATCCAGTGAACTCTTAAGAGAAACCGATGTTGGGTCGGCCATCACCTCCGGGCGCGCCTTGATGGTGCGATCCAGTTGCATCACCGCCAATGGGAGGGTTTGTTCGCCATGTCCCATTCTGTTCGCCCAGAGGGTCTGTGGAGGCCTTCGGGCGAACAGAACGGGACAGGGCAAGGAATGGGGAAGACTTGTCCGAATCTCCTGGGCCCCCCAGATGCTCGTCCGAAGAATGCGGAGAGGTCCCAGGGTCATATCAATTGGCTGCTGTCCCAGGGGTCCGGTCTGCTTGGCCCGAAGAGTTTGCCAAGGCCCCTGGGGGAACAGAATGGCACAGCATATCGGGCCAAGGGGGGCGGTAGCTGGCCTGTCAGACCCGGCGTTCGTCTTCTGCCCAAGCGGCGCGGGGCCCACGGGCCCCAGGGTTGGCGTCCCGCTGGGATTCCTCTTGTTCGCCCACAGGGTTGGAGGAGGCCTCCAGGCGAACAGAATGGGGCAGGACAATGAATGGGAGACTTGTCGCAAGCTCCCAGCCCCCCCAAGTGTGCGCCAGAAGGGTGTGGGGCCGCGTTGGCTCCCTCAAAGGGCCGTCTTGGAGCCGTCTAGGCCCGTCTTGAGGGCGCCGTTTGCCCTGATGGGGCCGTCTTGGTTCGTCGTGGGCCCCTCCTGGGCGCGTCCGTAGGCCGTCCTGGGCCCATCGGGGTCCTCGTGGGGCTGTCTTGGAGCCGTCTGGGACCGTGAGGAGGCCGCCTTGGAGTCGTCTTGGGCCCCTCCTGTGCGCCTCTTGGGCCGTCCTGGGCCCAGCAGGGGCCGTGTTGGCACCCTCTTGGGGCTGTCTTGGAGCCGTCTTGAGCCGTCGCAACGCGCCGTGGGTTGTGCTGGGTCCGTCTTGGCCCGTCTTGGGGCCTTCCTGGGCGGTTCCTCGGACCCTCCTGGGACTTTCTGGGGCCTCTTGGTGCATCGGACCGCCGAAACGGCGGGAAACGCAAAGGGTGTAACAATAAACAATGGAAAATTAACGATTTTTGCCAGCTGGGACTCTTTGCCATCTTGGCCCGTCTTGAGGCCCCGAACGGGCGCGTCCTTGGGCCGTCCTGGGCGCACCCTCCTGGGACCGTCTTGGAATCGTCTTGGGCCGTCTTGAGCGCGCCTTGGGCCGTCCTGGGCCGGTCTGGGGCCGTGTTGGCACCCTCGCGGCGAGGAAGCTCGGAGGCGGGCTCGAGGCCTCTTCGGAGCCATTTTGGAAGCTGTTGGGGCCTCTGTAGGGGCCTCGTTTGGGCTCCTTGGGAGCCTCCTGGGGCCTCTTCGGGGGATTCTTGGCGGCCCCTTGGGGCCTCTTGGGGGCCTGTTTGGGCCTCCTGGCGCCCTCTTGGGGCGGAAGGCTCGGATTCTCGGTCCGTGGTCCCCCTCTTGGCCCCCTCTTGGGCCTGTCTTCGGGCCCTCGTGGGCCGTCTTGAGCGTCTGGGTCGTCTTGGGGCCCTCTTGGGCTGTCTTGGGGCCCTCTTGGGCTGTCTTGGGGCGCTCTTGGAAACCTCTTGGGCCGTTCTGGGGCGCTCTTGGAGGCCTCTTGGGCCGTCTTCGAGCGTCGGGAAGCGGAAAAGGCGAGAAGGCCAAAATCCTTCCAAAACCGTCGTAAAGCGGACGATTTTGAGGCCCAAAACCGTCCAAAACCTCCTGAGGCGGTCCCCACGTCCGCCCCCCTCGCTTCGAAGCAGTTTTTAAGCCCCGTGGCACCTCTTGGGGATCTCTTTTGGGCTCCTGGGGGCCTCGTGGGCCTCCACTGGATTCGCTGCCCTCGGTCGGCAATCGTCGATCCTACGACGACTCTCCCCAACGGAGAAACATCGAAGGCCCTCGGAGCGTCCAACATTGTTCTTTTGTGCCTTCGATATGCCGGTCGCCTCTCGTCCGCTCCCCCCCTCCGGGAAGCAATTCTGAAGCCACTTAGGGCTTCGTGGGGGCCGTTTGGGGATCTCTTGGGGCGTTATTGCCTGCGATATGCCTGTCGCCTCTCGTCCGCTCCCCCGCTCCTGGAGGGAATTCTGAAGGCACTGAAGGCTTCGTGGGGGCCGTTTCGGAGCCTCTTCGGCCTTCTTTTGGGCCTCCCGGGGGGGCTCTGAGGGCCCTCTCGGGCAGTCTTGGGTGCCTCTTGGGCCGTCTTGGGGCCGTCTGAGACCCGCCTCGGCGCCTCTTGGGCTGTCGTGGGCCGTCTTGGGCCGCTCCTGGGGCCGTCTTGGGTGCCTCTTGGACCGTCTTGGGCGCCTCCTGGGCCGTCCTGGGGCCGTCCTGGGGCGTCTTGGGACCGTCTGGGGGCCCTCCTGGCCCGTCTTGGGGCTCTCTTGGGGTCCTCTTCGGCCGTCTTGGAGCGGTCGGGGGGGCTTCTTGGGCCGTCTTGGAGCGTCGGGAAGCCGACGAGGCGAGGAGGCCGAAAACATCGAAAAACACAATAGAAATCGACGATTTCTGTCGCTCGGGGCCCTCTTGGGAGGCCTCTTGGGAGGCCTCTTCGGGCGTCGTGGACGCCTCTTGGGCCGCCTGGGGCGAATCTCGGGCGTCTTGGGCCCATCATTAAGCGTGCCGGGGCTCTCCGGGGCCGTCTTGGGGGCTTCTGGGGGCCCTCTCGACATGTCCTGGGGCCTGCCTGGGCGGCCCGGGGCGGCCCGGGGCCAGCCCGGGGCGGTTTTGAGTTATTTGAGCCTGCGCCCTTCTGGCACGCACTGGGCCCTGCAATGTAGTAGAGATGACTTCGGGCTCCAGCTTCGCCTTACACATCTCGCTCAGCAGGGCCAGGGCCCGCTGCCACTGCTGACCCTTCCCGCACGCGCTGATTCCGGCGCTGTAGCTGAAGACGTTGCAGTCCATCTTTTTTAAAACCATAACCCGTAGTACCGACAGAGCTTGCTGCCACTGCGTGGCTTTTCCGAATGCCCTGACAGTTGAAATGTCCTGGCGTGGGCTTGCTTTTGAACGTGGTTCGGGCGATTCGATGGGCGGGTGCAAGGGGTGCTTCGCCGCGATCCAATGCTCTGTCCAGACGCCTGTTGGGGGCCGCACCTTTTGGAGGTCGCCTCGAGATCCTCGGCGGATGTCTCTCATACTAGAATATATTGGGCAACGCTTCAAGACTGGCGTGGCTCCGACCAGAGTGTCTCCAACAAGATTATAGGATCACACATTCAAAGAGCATGACGGTGAAACGATGAAACTCCGAATTGCCTTGAGCTAAAGGACTTGAGCTGTCAATAATTGTAAAGTCGCGTTTCTTGTTGCTGGCTGGCTCGATCGGGATAGTCTCAGCATTCTGAAAATCTGACGCACCCCCCACGCAGATCACGGCGTCACTGTCCAAAAGAACAAATTCCTCACCATGCTAACATAAAGCCGTCAAGAACATAATATGATTAAATGAGTTTGAGCCCGATGTTTCGAACATGGCAGTTTCGCGTGGCAAATGCTCCAAATGTTCAACGCGGTTCTTAGAACAAGGCAGTTTCGCCTGAGACATCCTTCCAAAACAGAGCCCCGATGTACAACACACGCACATACTAACACACACACAGAACACACACACACACATCACACGCAAAACACACACACACACACTAACACGCACACAGAAAACACACACAACACCTACAGTACACAGAACACATACACATAACACATACACACGTGCACACAGCACACACACACACATCACAAACAAACAACACACCCATCACAAACAACACACACGCGCACACAACGCACAAAGACACACAGCAAACCTAATACACACACGCATACATAACACGCATACCACACATGACCCACACATAACTCACATATAGCACCCACACAAAACACATATCCCAAACACAACACACAGCACACACAGCACACACCTTACACCCCCCCACACACGCACAAACACACACATACATTCTGCAATGGTGTCTGTATGGGCCTGGGCACGCACGTGACACTTGTATTCGTATATGTGTATACGCATGTGTATATCTAATATGAGATGCGTGCATGCCCCCAGGCCCCAGGGGCCCCCTAAAATGTCCATACCCTCCGTCTTGCGAGGCCTAGGGAAGATCGAATCCCTGGGCGGTGGGTACAATAATTATGCACAGACCCTGGCCACGGAGCCGGCGCCACCGCCGCCGTCGGGTCCAGGTGGTGCCTCTCTCCCCCCTCAGGCCCTGCCTTGGCGGCCCTGGGTCTTTGCAAGGACCCCCGGGGAGCCGAGCACTGCGATCAAAAAAAAGTCTGCCCCGAGTTTCCATCCATCCGGTCGGGCGCCGTCTCTGTCATCGCAGCGGCCGTCGCCGCCGAGTAACGGCGACGAAGACAACGACGACGGCGACGAGGACGGCGACGAAGACGACGACCCCGCCCCGCGGCTGGAGCCGCCGAAGTCGAGCCGGCCGTTGCCGCTCTTGTCGTACTGCCTGCCCCCCCCCCCCCGGCATCGGGCATCGGCACCTGCTCGTCCTCCTCCTGCTCCTGCGGTTTTGGCGTTATGCAAATATGAGCGACGAAGCTGTTGCGCTTCCCCCTCCTGGGGCCTCCTTCTTCTCCTCCCTCCAGCGCTCTGGCTCCCGATCCTGCCCCGCACTCCGCCTCCTCCGCCTGCTCCTGCTCCTCCTCCCGAGTACAGTCGAAACCTGGCCACAAGAGCATGGGACGGCGGAGCGGCGACGGCGACGGCGACGAGAAGGACGACGACGACGACGACGACGATGGGGACGACGACGACGACGACGACGACGACGACGACGACGGAACGGGAGCCTCTGCGCCGAAGGCCCCCGTGGAGCTGCCCGAGACGAGGAGCCCTCCCGAGGGGTCGAGCCCCGGGCGCGAAGAGCACAAGGGCACTCCTCCAGGGCCAGGGCTGCGCTTAAGTCGGGCCTGTCCCCCTGCAGGGGGGTTTTCGACGAACAAGAAGAATACCACCAAACAAATTAAACAATAGTCCAAAAATAATCGAAAAAATCAAAGTCAAGAAATACTCCAGATTTCGTAATAAAAGGGAGGGGGTCTGGACCCTCCAAGACAAGCCATTTCAGACCCCCCCTCGTGGGAGAACCCTCCAAAACATCGCCCCCAGACCCCCCCAGGCCCTCCAAGATAGCCTGGAAGAGACCCCCCCCGAAATGAGACCCCCTCCCTTTTTATTACGAAATCTGAGCTGCACGCGGCGGCGCGGCCGGCTCCGCCCGCTCACCCCGTCTCTGCTCCCCCTCTCAGGGTACAGCCCCAAATGCAGTCCGAGGAGGAGGAGGAGGAGGAGGAGGAGGAGGAGGAGGGGGAGGAGGGGGAGGAGGAGGAGGAGGAGGAGGAGGAGGAGGAGGAGGAGGAGGAGGAGAAGGAGGAGGGAGAGGAGGAGAGGAGGAGGAGGAGAAGGGGAGGGGAGGAAGGAAGGACGGCGGCGGTGGGGAGGCGGGGAAGGGTGTGGTGAGGCGGAGCCGGGCCGGTTACCCCCAACCAAAACATCAAAAACCATACACAAACAAAACAGGAGGGCCTCTGGTCTTTGGGCCGTTCCTTCTCGGCGGCGCGCTCAAGGGGGTATGGGAGACAGGGGAAGGCTTCTCAGTGAACGTTCTCATTCTCTTGCTCGGCGTTTCGGCATTGGGCGGAAGTCGGCGGGAGGGGGGGTGTCTGGCTCCGGACCTCTGTTTGCAATATTGCGTCCTATGGGGGAGACTCGACCTGCGTGAAACTGGCGCCTGAAATAGCCAAGATCTACTCCATGGGGGGGAAAAGGGGTGCGAGAGCCCGCGACGATCGGCAAAGCAATGAATAACAAAACGAACACTTAGCAGAAGGCTGCTTCTTAGAACGAGCCAGCCTTACACCCACAGACAAGGTCCACGCCTTCTGTGAAGCAGGGGTGCTTCTAAGACGCCTTCCCAACTCCCCTTAAATGCCCCCTCTGCGCGTGGCCATTTAGAAACAAATGCACCTTCTTCCCACTGCCCGCCAGACTTATGTTGCTCCCATCGTACTTGAAGACCACATCCCAGAAATAACTCCGAGCACCCGGAAAAGTGTCGAAACAGTGTCGGACGAGTGTCCCCCAGGGCCCGACGCGTGAAAACCCTGGAGCTTCGGCACATGCTTGGTGCTCGACATTCTCCCTCGCGGTCGAGGCCGAAGTGGGTGGGAGCGTCACAGCGCCCGACAGGGGCCGAGGCGCTGGCGGGGCGCCGCCGGGCGGTGCTGGGATGGTCAGGGGGGTTGGCATCTACTTGGGCCAGTTGTATTCAGTTGCGTTGGGGTTAGGGCGCTTATCATAACCAGGAAATAAGTAGGATAGCGCAAGCTGTTTCTAAGTACTTAGGCTAAGTGGGTTAGTGGACTTGCCTGATGCAAGCTAAGTAGGTTAGAGGGAAGGGCGCTAAGCTTACGCGAGGGAGTTGCTAAGTAGGTTGGGGGGAGCTCTGCAGGTGTGTATGCGTGTCTGCGTTCGCAGCATTCTGATTCTAGGGAGCTCAATGTGCATGCGCGTGCACCCCGATGTATGTAAACTTGCATGTGGTATTGGGCGTGTGCGTGCTTCTGTGGGGGTCAAGGTCTGTTTGGGGCTTGTGGAGCCTGATTGGGGCCTGCTTGGGACCTCCTTCTTGCTTGGGACATGATTGAGACATTGGAACCTGCGTGGGGCCTGCTGGAGACTGTTGGGGTGGTCGGTTTAATAAGCATGTTTGGGTACATTTTGCTCGGCAAGGTTCAAAAAACCAGTCCACATGGAGGTTGACTCCGCGCACAGGAAGTGTAACACAGCAGCAGCGTCTCTTTTTCTGCAGTCCATTCCTCTGTCACCCACCGCTTTTCAGTTGTCCCCCCGTTCCCTTCCCCTCCTTTCCGCCTCTTCCTTCTTCCGTTCCTTCTCTTCTTATTCCTCGCCCTCCCCCTCCAGTATTCAGCTGGGCTTCGCCCTCCGCAGCCGAGGAGGCAAAATGATCTGACTGATCGCGCCCGTGACAGCGGGCTGGAAAATGCAGGATTCGTGAATCCAACCTGTTGGAATCAACCTGGGGGAATCTTGCACTCGACACTTCGCCAGATGTTTGTCCAATTTTACAGTGGACCATTCTGAAACGCACGAAACGGGCTCCCTTTGCAACAAGCAGTGAAAATACACTATGCCAAAACGTAGTTCAGAAACACAGGTGAAACACACGACATCGTTCATCTGAACGACTCTGCTGTGGACGCTGGCCGCTCGAGCAGTTAAAATCTCAGCGCCGAGCGGGAGAACCACAACAGACAAAATCGCTTCGACGAGTTTTTTGCTGGCGGGCCTTGGCTGGATCAAACCGACCCCCGTAAGAGGATTCCGAATGTCAAACAAGTGCTGGACCGTGCATTCCTCTAGGAGCCCCCTCTCGAAACTCTGGGGGTTGCATCGCGGCTCCGCGAGCCGCTTTAGGACGCGGTGTTTCCGTTCCATCAAATGAGTACTTAGCAAGCATCCGTGGGATTCTAACTGTTTTGGCAAATGTAATCCGTAATGTTCTTTGGGTTTCCATATCAGGAGCCCGTAGGCGTGTTGATGTAAAATCACATGCTTATCGATCGCGGCCTTGAGATCGGCTGCTGTCACAAGCCCTGCGTTCACAACAGAAAGAAGAAAGACGACGCGAACGAGCGCCAGCCCGCTCGCGACTTCTTTCTCGCAGACCTTAGCTGGGAAGACCACATCTCGAAGATACTTTCCGAGAAGAGGTGCAGCGCTCATCATTTCCGATGCTGAACCTGAGGGCGACTTGTCTGTTTTGGAAGAACAAATGTTGCGGCCTGAAGCGCAACCGCACGGCCACGCCCATTTTTTGACATATTGCTCAAACGTTTTCCCTCCGAGGTTGCATTCCCTGAGTCTGGACATCAATTCTTTGAATTCTTTTACAAACGTTCCATCAACCATGTACACGTGCATCCAGTCCCAGGCCCACGTGCTAATCATTTTGAAGCGCAATGTTTCAGATTGTAAAAGGCCTGTTGGGATGAAATTAAACCCGAACTGTGTCTCAAGCTCCTCTAACTTGGCTTTATCGCCACTGCGGTGGACCTCAGCTAGGCGTTTTTGAAAACCACGCACGGTATTGTCAGTCAGAAGCTTGAATTTAGAAGAATCAGTCTCGCTTGATGCAACAAAAAAGCCTGTCGAATCAGGGAGCCACGAGCTCCTGTATCCAAGGACATTAGAACATAGCCCACATATTTTGTGTGCTCCCGATCCTTTCACCCCCGTTGCAAATTTATGCGCCCTCTCATCCTGCATGACGATGTACAACAATCCTGAAACCAGCCTCGGTGCAGTTTCGCCTGGCAACTGAAGAAAAATACCAGATCGCAAATCGAAGGGTGGGGTAAAGAACGTCTCTAATGCATATCGAAAAAACTCTGACATCCCACCAGGCAACATATTTACCGTGTCCGATCTTACCCCTGCGAGTGTATTCCACGCGAGTTCATTGCACAATGTGGGGAAACCGAGGTCGTACCAACTCCAGTAAACAGCTTGAAGCTTTCTGGAATTATAAAAAAAAAAAAAAAAAAAAAAAAAAAAAAAAAAAAAAAAAAAAAAAAAAAACAAAAAAAAAAAAAATAAAAAAAAAAAAAAAAAAAAAAAAAAAAAAAAAAAAAAAACAAAAAAAAAAAAAAAAAAAAAAAATAAAAAAAAAAAAAAAAAAAAAAAAAAAAAAAAAAAAAAAAAAAAAAAAAAAAAAAAAAAAAAAAAAAAAAAAAAAAAAAAAAAAAAAAAAAAAAAAAAAAAAAAAAAAAAAAAAAAAAAAAAAAAAAAAAAAAAAAAAAAAAAAAAAAAATAAACAAAAAAAAAAGTGATGGGAAAACAAAAAAAAAAAAAAAAAAAAAAACAAAAAAAAAAAAAAAAAAAAAAAAACAAAAAAAAATAAAAAAAAAAAAAAAAAAAAAAAAAAAAAAAAAACAAAAAAAAATAACAACAAAAAAAAAAATAACAATTAAAAAAAAAAAAAAAAAAAAAAAAAAAAAAAAAAAAAAAAAAAAAAAAAAAAAAAAACAAAAAAAAAAAAAAAAAAAAAAAAAAAAAAAAAAAAACAAAAAAAAAAAAAAAAAAAAAAAAAAAAAAAGAAAAAAAAAAAAACAAAAAAAAAAAAAAAAAAAAAACTAAAAAAAAAAAAAAAAAAAAAAAAAAAAAGAAAAAAAAAAAAAAAAAAAAAAAAAAAAGAAAAAAAAAAAATAAAAAAAAAAAAAAAAAACAAAAAAAAAAAAAAAAAAAAAAAAAAAAAAACAAAAGCTTTCTGGAATTATGAATCGGCCAACTAGGTTGCCTTGGCCTAGACCCTCGTCTGAGTCAAACCAAAAAGAGCGAATGCAAATTCGCATCGCATTCCCGCTTTTGTCAAGGGCTTCCCTGACCATCGTGCAATATGAGTCGGATTCTCTGCACGCCACTTCG